AGCTGGGCCACGGAACTGGAGAATCACGGCATGCTTTGGATTGGAATGGGCCTTAAAGACCATCTCAATCCAATCCCCTGCCATGGGCAGGGACACCTTCCACTAGCCCAGGTGAATCCAAGCCCCATCCAACCTAGTCTTGGGCAGCATGCTCTCCCAAGGGATGGGGCAGCCACAGCTTCTCTGGGCAACCTGTGCCAGGGCCTCACCACCCTCACAGACAACAATTCCTTCCCAATATCCCATCTAACCCTGCCCTCTGGCAGTGGGAAGCCATTCCCCCTTGGCCTGTCCCTCCATCCCTTGTCCCAAGTCCCTCTCCAGCTCTCCTGGAGCCCCTTTAGGCCCTGCAAGGGGCTCTCAGGTCTCCCCGGAGCCTTCTCTTCTCCAGGTGAACACCCCCAGCTCTTCCAGCCAGTCAGAAAGTCATTCCTGGGAATGACTGTGCTGTGGAACTGAGAGCCTGGCTGAAGGCGAGGGGAATGTCATTCCTGCTCTGCCCTGTGCAAACTTCATCACAGAAAACAATCATTTTCAGGCACTGTAACTCCACACTGACTGTTTCCCTGCTCATCCTCCCCCTGCCATGCCTCCTAAAAGGACTCATTCCATGTTTTCTCCTGGAGCTGGCTGGCCTGTGGCTGCCTGGGCCATCCTGAGCCTTTTTTGACGATACAAACCTTGCGTTCCTCCAGCTGCAAAGATTCTCCACCCACCACGACTTTCCACCACAGAGAGGAGCATCAGCCACTTCTCCAGTGCCTCAGACTTGCACAGCCAGGACCCAACAAGTAAGGCCATGTGGATCCTCATGGATTATGGATGTGAATCCTCATAGATTGTGGGTGTGAATCCTCATGGATTGCACTGTATGTCAGTGTAGACAGCTCTGAATCTCTGCAGTAAGTGAGCTCGCCTGGCCCTGACTGTGAGCTCTGTGCCATGGGACACCCGTGGGGTGGGGGAGGCTGGGAGCTGACCTGGAGCACACCCAGCTGGCCAAGCACAGAGACACACACCCAGGGTCGGCAGGGACTGGAGGATGCACAAGGACACTTCCCATTGTGCTCTGGCAGCCAGTGCTGGAGCCAGCAGCTCCTGCCTGAGGCACCTCAGGTGAGAGGGAGGAAAGGTTGTGTGTTCCACATCCCAAAGGTCTTCCAGTCCTCATTTCCCAAGACATGAAGCTTGAATGAATGCTTCCCTTCATCCTCATCTCTGCTCCAACTCCACCCTGCCATGGGACTGGCAAGTGGCTCCTTCCTGGTGCCTGCCCTCAACACACCTATTTTCAGCCTGAGGAGCGAGGAGGTCCTGATGGCTCTCAAAGGGCAGGACAGAAAGTCCATCACCTACTTGGGAGGAAGTCTTCCTCCACGAGTCCTTGAGCTGTTGCAATGGAAGGCTTTTTGCAGCAAGGCAGGTGCAAAGAAAGGTAACTCTTGACTAAATATATAATATATATGTATTACATAAGAGTGGTGAGGCACTGGCACAGGTTGCCAGAGAAGCCGTGGCTGCCCCTGGATCTTTGGAAGTGTCCAAGGTCAGGTTGGACAGGGCTTGGGGCAACCTGGGCTAGTGGAAGGTGTCTCTGGAGATGTTCTTTAAGGTCCCTTCCAACCCAAACCAGTCTGTGACTCTGGGATTATCTATGTGTGTATCTAGAACTGAGCAGTGATATTTTTTTAGCCAGAAGAGACCTCAAAAGGAAGTGGAAGATGTACTGCATGTACCTATGGGCAACACAGAGGACATTTGAGGGAACAGTATTGTACAAACCCAGAAGAGTTTTGCTTTCATTGTCAAGACAGTGCATTGCCCACATTTAGCACAAGGGAAGTAAGACACAGAATTTGAGAGGAACAGTTTTGCATTGCAGGGGTCCAGCAGCTGTCACCAGCGTGGGGTCTCACAACAGGCAGGTGGTCCTGCTCACTGACTGACGTGCTGTCACCTTCAGTGGGACAGGTGAGGTGATGGACATGAATGATCCTGCTGTAACTGTGCCAGGACATGTTCCGTGTCCTCTATTTCCTTTGGGGGGGGGGGTTGGGACACTCAAACCCCTCCCTGTTGGAGGGAGAGGTACCGATCCCCTCTCTTCAGGGAGGATTATCTGATCCAAAACACCAAAGTGATCCTTGGGACTGAGTCTGTGGCCTAGAATGGTCACTTGGGCTCCCCACTGCAGGGAAGTGGGGGATCGGGGTGGCTCTGGGGTGCTGGAGCTGTGGGGATGTCCATGGGCCTCTGGGGGTATTAGGAATTCCCTGGAGTCCTGGGGGAATTCTCACTAGAGCAGGAGAGTTGTCAGCGCTCCCTGTGAGGAATCTGGGAGCCCTGGGAGTAACAGGGTCTCCTTGGGGGAATCTGGAAGTCCTGGGAGTATCAGGCATCCCTGTGGGTGTGGTGTGTCCCCAGGAGGTGTCACAGCCCCCAGTTCCTCCTAAGCACTGCACAGGTGTGCAGGGGCACCTTGGAGTTCTGAGGCAGCCCAGCCAGTCTGTCATCAGTGTCAGGAGACCCCAGGGAGGGGAGGCACCCCCAGGGTCACTCACCTGGGGGGTGGGCTCGCTGATATCCTTGGGCACAGGATGTGTCACTGGGGGCCAGGGGCCACCTCCCTGTCCACGGTGCCACCAGGGTCAGCCAGGCTGAGCAGCAGCAGTTGGTGCAGAAGGGTCACTTCAGCCTGTGGCACTTTGGGGCAGGAGCACTTCTGGGTGGGGGGTGACAGAGACCCCCCAGTCACAGGGCCAGGACCCCAAGGCCATTGGAAGGAAGGACAGGTCTCAGCCCCCTCCACCAACCCCACTGCCCCCCTACTGCCACTGATAACCCTCAAGGGCCCCCATCAACCCCAGTCCCTTCACTCTTTACCTTCCCAGTGACCCCCCAAGCCCTACTGACTCTCCAGCTCCCCCAGTGACCCCCAACCAGGCCAGTGACCCCTCCAGGGCCTCCCAGTGATGACCCACAGGATCCCACTGGTTCCTCACAGCCCATGACTGCCCTGCCACTTTATTCCTCACTTGCTCTCCCACTCCAAGCTGATGTTGACCTGAGGAAAGAGATGGATGTGGGTTTGGCCAGGGCCTGGGGGCTGAGCCAGGTGCCTGACATGGGGTCTGTGCCTGCCTGATCTCCTCTGACTGCAGGACAGTTTTCCCCTGTGTTTGCCATGGCCCTGTTGGTCAAGTCCCTCCCAGAGCACTTATGAGGGGTCTGGCTGTCCCCAAACAGAGCAGGAGGGCTCTGGCCTGTCCCTCCACCTCACAAACATGGGCTGTACGGGTCTCACACAGCTCAGGAGGGGTTTCTGTCCCAGACCCTCCCCTTACCTACCTCAGGGCTGGTTCAACCATTCCTATCCCCAAAGGAGCTACTAAAATACTTCGAATCATAGAATATCTTAGATTGGAAGGGATCCACAGGGATCACTGACTCCAGCTCCCTGCTCCCAATGGGCCACTCTTCCCAGTACGAAGTGCCCCAGGTACGTGGGGCCAGTGGGGGCTGGAAGAATCCCCCTCAGAAGGGGCTGAAGGCAGAGAAATGAGGGGTAAAAAGGAATTTTGGCAGCAGTGTCTCTTCTGCCACCCTCCCTAGTCAGGGAAGTGGGGTGACACAGATGAAAACTTAATTTTCACTGGAAACCTGTCAGAACTGGTTGGTAGAAAAGAGTCTGGTAGAGTGGGAGAGGAGAACTGTGTGTGTGAGAGGAGCTCAGTGTGACACCCCTCCTCATGGCAGCCTGCTCCAAAATCCCTGGGACCCACAGCATGTCTCCTGTCCCTCCAAGGCCACATTGTCCTGCTGCCAGGTCTGTCAGGTCAGATTAAAGGTGAGGAAGGGGCTTGGAGATCACCAGGACCCAGCAATAACACTCACCAAAGGCCAAAGGAACTCCCATAGGAGGAGCACCTGACATGGACAGTAAATGAGAGAAGCAGAGGCAATGGAGAATAAAGACTCTTTTATAGAACAGAGAAAGCAGGTGCAGCTCCTGCTGTGTTTGCTGAAGGAGGAAATCAGCTCCCAGCCATCAGTGGTGCTTGTGGGGATCTTCTTTCAGGGGTGGCATGATTTCTCCAGTCTCTAAAATCCTGTCCCCCTGAGGGATGAGAGCGTGGTGAGCATTCCCTCCTGCACCCAGCCCCTCCCTGCACAGCCCAGCCCTTCAGGGAACCTGCAACTTCCCCACTCCCAGACAAAAATCTCACTGCAACTCACTCAGAACACACTCACTCACCCAACATTCCCAGGATACGGGAATAATATCACAGCCAAACTACCTGAACCTGCACCTGCTTCACCACAGAACAGCACCCAAACATTTTGAGACTGTCTTGTTTTAAAAATGTATATTGGACTCATAGCACTGCATAACCCCCTTCAGCACAGCACAGGACTCAGTGAGTCCAAACCCAGGGCCTGGTGACTATAGAGAGACACATAATCCCTCAAAAATCAACCTGCTGCCCAAGTGCTGCCTGTTCCAGCTCCAGGCACTGTCCTGGCCCACTGGGCTGACCTAAATTGACTGAAAAACTAGGCTGAAGACAGAGGACAACAGCCTGACCTTCAGTATGTTGCTACGTGGTTGTTAGGGATGGAACTTGTTAGAACTGCCAAAAATGTGCAGCTGTCAGAAAGGGCAGAGCTGATTTTCTAGGAGAGTGTTTGCCCTCTGACTTGTTACACCAATCAGTAACAGCTCAGAGCAGCCTGAAAAGAAACCAAGCAATATGACCCTCTCTGCTTAAAAAAACTCACCCCAAACTGAGGTGACACAACTCTTTGGGGACCCCTGAGCATGGGGGACCTGCAGGGACACCTGGGACCAAGCCAGAAACAACATTCCCAGTGCTGACAATGAGGAGAAGCAGAACCACTCTGTCATTCCACGTGTTCATAACCACAGAGGCTTTAAACACCCATTCCCAAAGGAAATGTTTGTGTTTTCCTCCCCATGGGCCACGTCAGCCAGGTACTGTCAGCCAGGTACTCCAAAGTCTGCAGCTAGAGAGGAGGTCCCACCGAAACAGGGACTGTCTGCTCCGAGGACAAGAGGAGAACTGCCCAAAAACACCATTCTTGGGGTGCTCCAGGACAGGCTGCCCACAGAACACCCCACATCCCTCCAGAGTCTCTACTAGGAATTTCTCAGCTGCTGCACAAACTTGCACTTCTCCCCATGGAACCCCTTCCCATCTGCCTGACAAAGCTGGAAGGCAAAACAACTGTTAACAGACTTACTGGGAATATCCGTGGATTTGCCATGACCATTCCATGAGGCTTTTTCTGGAAGTGGGGGGGAGAGAGGGGAAGGGGAAAGAAAAAAGTGTTACTTGGAGGGAGTACAAGTCTTTCCCATTCCCCACACCAGCAGCTGCCCTGGTTATACCCATGGTCACAATTCCTCCAGGAAAGCAACAACTCAGACACAGCTTTCCGGCTCACAGGCAAAGCTGGGCACTGCCATAAATCACACAGTCATGGCGTGATTTGGGTTGGAAGGGACCTTAAAGCCCATCTCCTTCCTTCCCCTGCCATGGGCAGGGACACCTTCCACTAGCCCAGGTTGCTCCAAAACCCATCCAACCTGGCCTTGGACACTTCCAGGGATCCAGGGGCAGCCACAGCTTCTCTGGGCAACCTGTGCCAAGGCCTCCCCACCCTCACAGCCAACAATTCCTTCCCAATATCCCATCTAACCCTGCCCTCTGGCAGTGGGAAGCCATTCCCCCTTGGCCTGTCCCTCCATCCCTTGTCCCAGGTCCCTCTCCAGCTCTCCTGGAGCCCCTTTAGGCCCTGCAAGGGTCTCTCAGGTCTCCCTGGAGCCTTCTCTTCTCCAGGTGAACACCCCCAGCTGTCCCAGCCTGGCTCCAGAGCAGAGGGGCTCCAGCCCTTGGAGCACCTTTGCTCCAACAGCTCCATGTCCTTTGTGTACTGGGAACCCCAGAGCTGGAGGCAGCACTGCAGGTGGGGTCTCACCAGAGCGATTTTTTATCATAAAGTATCACCAAAAATACATATATTTGTACCACCTAAGCAAGGAAACACGAGAGGTGGACAGGCCACGGGAGGTCACCTCAGCCTGCAGCCCAACGTAGGCAGCACGTTCGCACCCCCCGTGTGGGATCAGCCCTCACCCACCACCCCCCACGGCCTTACTGCGGGGTTTAACCCGCCCTCCCCCGCGCCCCCCGCGCCCCCGCACCATGACGTGGTACTTCACGTAGTAGGTGAGGAGCCAGGCGGGGATCAGCACCCGCACCAGGAGGAACCCGCCGGTCTGGTAGGCCTTGTACACCTGCGGGGACAGCGGCGGGTCAGGCGGGGACAGCGGGCCCTGGCCGGGACAGGCGGCCCCCCGTCCCCCTCACCTGCTGCCGCCAGAGCCCCCCGGGCCGCAGGAAGCGCTCCCAGAACGCGGCCACCGGGCCGAGCTTGCGCGGGGGCAGGACGGGCTCCCGCTCGCTCAGCTCCTGGTCCCGCAGCCACCGGCGCCGCAGGGCCCGGAGCTGCTGCAGCCGCAGCTTCTCATCCTCCGTGTAGCCGCTCATGGCCTGGCCCGGCCCCGCTTGGCTCGGCTCGGTGCAGCCCCGGCCCCGCTCGGTGCCCGCCCGGCCGCGGGCGCCCCGTCCTTGTCCGCGGCGCTCGCAGTGAGAGCGGCGGGCGCAGCGCGATGACGAGCGCGGGGGAGGCACCGAGCGGAGCGGCGGGAGGGACTGGGGAGTTCCTGCGGGGAAGGGCCGGGGGGCTGCGGTTGTGCAGCCTGGGAAAGAGAAGCCTTGGGGTGACCTGCGGGCCGCCTCCCTGCTGAGGGGAACCTACAGGAAAGATGGGGCAGGACTATGCACAAGAGCACGTATTGACAGGACAAGGGGGAGTGGGTCCAAAATGAAAGAGAACAGGTTTAGATTGGATATTAGGAAGAAATTCTTCCCTGTGAGGGTGGTGAGGCCCTGGCACAGGCTGCCCAGAGAAGCTGTGGCTGCCCCTGGATCCCTGGAAGTGTCCAAGGCCAGGTTGGACGGGGCTTGGAGCAACCTGGGCTAGTGGAAGGTGTCCCTGCCCAGGGGGTGGAAGGCGATGGGCTTTAAGGTCCTTCCAATCCAACCCATCCCCCGATCCCATTGATCCCACTGATCAATCCCATTGATCCCACTGATCAATCCCACTGATCAATCCCACTGATCCCATCGATTCCACTGATCAATCCCACTGATCGATCCCACCGTTCCCACTGATCAATCCCACTGATCCCATCGATCCCACTGATCAACCCCCCTGATCGATCCCATCGATCCCAATGACCCCCCCACACTGTCCCCAGGCCCGGGCGCGGCGGGGCCGTGGCGCCCCCTGCTGGCGGGGGCCGCTCAGCCGGGGCAGCCCCGGGCTGTGACCGGAGGGTCGCGGGTTCGAGGCCCCGCTCGGGCCGTTCCGCTCCTCCCTCCGGCGGCTCCTCCCCCGGGCCCTCCCGCCACGCGAGCCCGGGGATGCGTGGCCCTGCCCGGCTCTGCACGGCTCTGCACAGCCCTGCCCGGCCCTGCCCGGCCCTGCCCGGCCCTGCACGGCCCTGCCCGGCCCTGCACGGCCCTGCACGGCACTGCCCGGCTCTACACGGCCCTGCCCGGCTCTGCCCGGCCCTGCACGGCCCTGCCCGGCCCTGCACGGCACTGCCCGGCTCTACACGGCCCTGCCCGGCTCTGCCCGGCCCTGCACGGCACTGCCCGGCCCTGCACGGCACTGCCCGGCTCTACACGGCTCTGCGCCGCCGGGGCCATGGCCGGGCCCGAGCCGGGGCTGCGGCTCCGCTTCCAGCGGCGGTTCCTGGCGGCGCGGCCGCTCCGGTCGCTGCCCTGGCCGGTACCGGGGGGAGGACCGGGCGGGCGGGGGGGGGGGACGCGGCAGCGCTGCTTTGCTGGTTTGTTTATTTATTTATCCCGATTTAGGAGCTGGAACAAAACCTGCGGGCTGCGCCGGACTCGCCCCTGCTCCGGGATATCCTGCACCAGGTGGGGACACCCCCGGCTGCCACCGCGTGTGCCCAGAGCCGCCGGAGTCGCTCGTAAATGCAGCGATCCGGGCCCGCAGCGCTTCGCTGGGCCCCGCAGAACTGCGGGTTTCCTTCCCCGCCGCTTGTTTGGCTGTTCTTGGATCGAAATTGAGACCCGCGTGCCCGAGCGCTGATGTGGTGCATGGCACAGGGGAGTCTGCCCAGCTGGTCCTGGATGCTCCGGGATACAGGGAATGCTGGTCCCTAAACTGTCCCTGGGGATGGGGAAAAAGCAAATTAGGCAGCAAGCCGAAAAGGAAAGAGGGAAGAGAAAAGCAAAAGAAGGAGGGGAGCAAACTGGACTATTCCCATTCAGTTTTGCTCTTTACTCTGAAAGGGAAGATTTTTGCTGCCGCAAAAGGTAAGAAATCTGCTGCCCCAGATCTGTAAACTCACAAACCAATCAGAAATCATCGAATTTCAATTTCTGGCTCAGCATCACTTGTACAGACTAAATCCCAATGCATTTCATGGCACCCAGGGCCAATTAATGGTCCTTCTCTGGCCCTCAGTGCCTTTCCTAACCCCTCCCTGGTAACTGGTTCCCGTGGCTGTTCCTGTTTCAGACCATCCTCCACCCTCTGTGTGTGAAATATCCCCCCTCAACAAAGTACAGGAGGTGCTTTCTGACTGAGCTCATCAAAAAGGTACTGCTTGCTTTTCACTCTTCCTTTTCCCCCTGAAAATATCCCATGTAATAACAAACCACAACAGTCAGTGTAAATATTAGGGCCAACAATGTATTAAAGGGGACTTAATGTGCAAGTGTTTTTTGTTTTCTTGACAATGTGACCCCCAGAGGTGCCCTGTTCTTCCCACAGCACGAGTCCACAGCAGCTGAACCCCTGGATGAACTGTATGATACACTGGCAGATGTTTTAAAAGAAGAAGAATCTACTCAGTGTTACAAAAACTACTTACTGGTAAGCATTAATGCTGCACTGTTCTGAATCACATTTAGTAATCTGAACTAAGCAATAATTGGCTTTAAAAATAACCCTTCAGAAGCCTGGAGTGCTTCTTGCCTCTTCCCAGGTGCCAATATTGATTGTGAAGTGCAAACCTGTTGTCTGTGCTGATCCATCTTTGCCTTCTTGTGTGTCCTCCAGCCCACAGGAGACTGTGTGACCCTTTCTGAGAGCACAGCCATGATTTCTGGGGGCACCACGGGGCTCGTCACATGGGAGGCTGCTCTGCACCTCGCCGGGTGGGCAGGGGGGAACCCCGAGGTGTTCAGGGCCAGGTAATGGCACAGCATGGGTGGAAAGGGGGAAAAATCCATACAGAATCATGGCACGGTTTGGGGTGGAAGGGACCTTAAAAATTGTCTCATTCTGTTCTTCTGCCACGGGCAGGGACACCTTCCACCAGCCCAGGTTGCTCCAAGCCCCGTCCAGCCCGGCCTTGGACACTTCCAGGGATCCAGGGGCAGCCACAGCTTCTCTGGGCAACCTGTGCCAGGGCCTCACAGGGGAGAATTTCTTCCCAATATCCCATCTAACCCTGCCCTCTGGCAGTGGGAAGCCATTCCCCCTTGGCCTGTCCCTCCATCCCTTGTCCCAGGTCCCTCTCCAGCTCTCCTGGAGCCCCTTTAGGCCCTGCAAGGGTCTCTCAGGTCTCCCTGGAGCCTTCTCTTCTCCAGGTGAACCCCCCAGCTCTCCCAGCCTGGCTCCAGAGCAGAGGGGCTCCAGCCCCCTGTTACTGTGAGCTACGAAACTGTAGTTTAATAATAGACAATATTTATAATAGTAATATTTAATTATAGGCAATATATACACCCAAAATAAGTGAAATCACACCCTTTTGCTGCTGGGTAACTGCTGCTCTTGTGTGTTCTGCAAGTCAAGCTGTAACTCAGGACCTTGTAGTTCTGTCAGGACAGGGGTTAAGATCAAAACCCTGGCACTGTGCAGCCTGACTTGTTTTGAAATTCAGCTGTTCAGTTTTCAGTAATTTAACTGATGCACTTCACTCCTTGCTGGGATCCATCTCACTGGTGTTAGAGGATCCGTGTGCAGGTCTGGTCACACCGTCTGGGCTTTATTTATAAACAGGCGAGAGGAACAAGCACTTTTGAGGAAAGATAATTTAAAATACTGACTCCCAGAGCAACTGTGCTGCTCAGTGTCTCTTTCTCTGCCCTGACTATGAAAAGAGCCAGTTCAGGGGGAGGCAGATGCAGATGGCTAAAACCAGGTGGGAATGTCTCTCATCCCCACGCTGGGAATGCTTTGTACCATATGCAAAAGCAGCATTTCAGGTAATTAATTTATGCTGACCCTCAGCATTTCCCAGCTCTCCAGTTGTTTGAGATAAAGGTTAGATTGTGAATGGTTTACTCAAAAATTATTGAAATTATCTGCAGCTCATTTTACCTCTAATTTTATTTGCAGTATTTTGATTTCCAACTTAATGTAGAGCCCTAATAGTACTTCTTTTACTCTGTTTTCCCTCAGGACAGTCTTGGAATTAGGAAGTGGGATTGGCTTCACTGGAATTGCCATCTGTAGGACCTGCCAACCCAAGACATACATATTTAGTGACTGCCACCCCTGTGTTCTCAGACAGCTGGGAGAGAACATCCGTCTCAATGGCTTCGAGGTGACCTGGTGTATCCAAACAGAGCCCCAAGGGCACGAGGTGGAAGCAAAGAACTGCCAAACCCCCAAACTGATGGTTGCAGAACTCGACTGGGGCTCAGTGACAGAGGAACAGCTGGTGGGTCTCCAGCCTGACATTGTCATCGCAGCAGGTTCGTCACCCCCCCGGGGGGGACCCTGCAGGAGGGAGCAGAGTGGAGGGACAGGGGTGCAGAACTCAGAGCCCTGGCAGGCTCTCGAGGGATGACAGCATAAAAAAGCCCCAAAAAAACAACTACAGCCCTTTTTTGGACTTGCCCATATATAAATCTGGAGGGTTTATAGAAAATCTTGGAAAATCGAGTGATAGTAAAATGTCTCAGCTGTAGCTACAGGGTTTTACTCCCTGATTTGGAGCTTTGCAAAGCAAAAATTACCTGAGAGTCCAGGTGAGCAAATGACTTTGTCATCCAAGGTATCACAAGGTGTGAATGTGAATTCTGTAAGATGAAGCCACTGCGTGTTACCCAATGCCAACAACAACTGTTCAGTGCCCAAACCAGCCCAGGCTGGACTCTGAAGACAAGAACTAAAGGAGATTTAGATCTGTCTACTCTTTGCTGTCACTCATTACTGCAGGACGTGCCCTGACTATGTTGGATCACAAGTAAGTGCTGTGTCTGTCAGTGGTACAGACACCTCAACACTTCCACACAGCATCCTCTGGGGATCAGCATTTCGTACCCCTTGGTGCTCACTCTCACCTCCCATCACTATTTCTGCTCTCCAGGAAATGACTCAGGATTCAAATTGCTGCAAGTCCTCTGCCATCAGCCTCTAAACCACCCATTTTTAATAAGGCAGGTTTGTTTTGCCAAGGGCAGTGGCAACAGCACCAACACTCAGTGTTCCTGCTGTCTCCCTTAGGATGGGCCTAAATAAAATATCTGACAATCCATTTACAAAAAGGAGCACGGATTTTTAGTGATTTTGGAGTGATAGTAGGGATGAGGGCATAGCACATAAAACAGAGGCATTTCTGAATATCTCTCCTTGGGAATTTTTAACCCATGAATAAAAAACCCATATTCTCCTGCACTGTGAATATTTTATATTTTTGGTTTGCAGTTCTCATTCTGCTTTTTGCTCAATCCTCAATAAATATTGTATGTTTCCCTCTTTTTTTTTCAGATGTGGTGTATGATCCAGAGATAATTTTAGCCCTCATTGGGATGCTACAGAAACTCTCCACCTGCAGAGCAGACAGAAAAGCTCCCGAGGTCTTCATTGCCTTCACACTCCGTAACCCAGACACGTATCACCTGTTCCAGGCTGAACTGGGTAGGGGCCTCTTTCATCAGGTGTTCAATATTTTGCCTCTTTCCCCATCACTTATTCTGTGGCAGAGATGAACAGCAGCATTTTTTGGAGAGGAGCATTGTCCAGTAGTGAGATTGTTATCCTAGAGCTGGATTTAAGAGCAGTAGCTTTTCCTCATGGATTTGATCGGGAGATTGGAACTTACCTTTAGGTACATCCTGGCTATCACAGCTCACATCTGTAAGGGATGAATTGCAAGTGTGGTGGGCTCAAAAGGGAGGAAACTAAACAGGGTTAAGCTTAAAGGAGGGAAACCATCTGTGCTGCTCTGTCACAGTGATAAATAACAGAGATGCAGCCTAAACCCTTCACCTTATCTTACCAGTTCTTTGAGGGTTAAAAAACCAACTAGAGATTAAAAAAAATGGGATTTCTCTTCATGTACTCTTCTAAAGCCTATCTTTTGCAGTCTGTCATCTGCTCAGCAACTGGTGAATTCACAAAATGATGCTGAGAGAGGCATTACTGGTATCTTTTAAAAACACTCAAAGCATTTGCCTGTAGCTTTCTTTCACAGCATGGTAAAGATCTCTTCCTACAGAACTTGTCATGCAACTTGTGCTCTTCATTTTATTAAGCCTAAATATGATTCCCAGTGTTTCTCTTCACAGATAAAGTCGGGATCAGGTGGCAGATTATTCCAGCCCATGGCAACAGTAATTTTCTCTATGATGTGCAGCCAAATGTAACTATTCTCCAGCTATTTATATAGGCTTGGCAAATAGAATTGGAATTTTGAGACCAACAGGAGCTGTGTCATCCTTGCAACAAGATTATCCTGAGTTCTGGAAGCACACACCAGAGGTGCTGGACTGTACACACGGGCTGTTGTCAATTGAGTTGTCTCTTCCTGTAATTTCCAGCATGTCTGCAAAGAAGCTGTTGCCCCTGAAAAGTGAGTGAACCTCAAACAATACAAAAAAAAATTAAGCCCTAATCATGCTGCACTTTAATTCTGTAGAAGACAGCAGAATTCAAGTGTATTTTTTTAACTGTGTTTTGGTTTGTTAACACTGGAGGCAAACCTGCAGGATCACGGGATCAGGATCTCCCATGGACAAGGGAGCAAGACAATGGTTCAGAGTAAAAAATATTTTTAAATATTAAAATCAGCTGTAATTGTCTACTCTGGTTTTTTTATACTTGTCTGTATATACTGGCAGTCTGGTCAGTCTTAAAAATGAACCAGTAAACGAGCAGTGACTAATACCTGCAGAGCTGTGGGATGTCCCAGGCTCACACACTGCTGTAAGAGCAGGGGTCAGGCTCTGCTGGAAATCAGGGGCATCTCTACCCTGCAGTGATGACAAAAATCACAACTGAGGTACATTCCTCTCACTTAAGAGCTGCCACTTTCACTACTGGCTGCTGGGACCTTCCTGTCAGGTTGGCCAGGAAATAAAAAAGGAATCATACTCCACAGCAATGCTCCAGGGATCCTGCAAGGAGGAAACACTGAGCTCACCTGCTCAGAAACTTTCCAGTGTCCATTCATCATTCTCCTCTTGGTCCTGAAGCAGAAGATCAAATGCTGCTCATTCTCCTCTTTAGACTTTCTTTTTCTCTATCTTGTTTTAAAAGCTACTTACAGGAAAATGAACAAATACTTCAGCCTCCTCCTTCCTTAGCAATGGAGAGAAAATGGGTGGTAGGTAACTTGAAACCTGAAGAATCATCTTAATTCTTCAAGCTGAAAGAAGCCACAACTGCTGGGATTAAGCAGAAGTTACCCCAGCCCAGGTTTTAGCTCCCTGTCCCCAAAAAGGAAGAACTCAAAGGTATTATTTCTAGAGGAAATGCAAACTGGCAGCCCAGACAGGAGCTCCCTTACACAAAATTCAAGTCACTCAAAGGTTCTGTACAGATGGCTCATTTTACATCTACAATTTTTATTATAGGAAGATGAAACCTCTCTGAAGCTTTTGGCATTACTGTTTAATTAGAGAAGTACCTAATTTATCTCCACATGCACAGGATTGGCTAAAGGGGAACAGCAAAACCCCCAGACAGGATTTTGACTGAAAACAGTAGGAAAGATACATTAAAATATTGGCAAATAAATCTTTATGAACCATCCTTCAGTCAAGAAGCTGGAGGTTTTGCCAAACTCCTGCAGTAAAGCAACTTGACTCTTTTATTTTCACCTTCTTCCTTCTGAAAAAAGCAGATTTTCGATGATTACTCAGTCAGAGGGTTTAAAAATGCTGGTGCAGAACCCACTGTCACCACCTCCCACCCCTGAACTGGGAGCTTTGAGGAGCAGTAACCACATGATAAAACCAAGCACTTCTGCTCCTTAAATGACTGACATCTATTTTATAGCCAAAAAGGTGATGAAAAAAACTTGGAACCATTCAGTCTGCATATACTGATCTTAACAATAAAAAGCTGAAGGGTGCACCTGAGTGAGCACTCACAAAGTGAAGTGCCTTTGATTACATTACACGTATATTTGGGGGTTATTTTTCCCTGTTCTATTCATCTGTTCAAAAAGAGATGAATTTGATGTTCTTTCTCAAGGTGAATGGGCACATTCACTTCAGACTGCAAGGGGAGCACTCACTGCAAGGTCTGTTTTCCTCTAAGTACCCAGTAAAGCTGTCACACCCCAGCAGCTGCACTTCCACATTCCTGCACACACTGTGAAAAGGAAAACAACTTGGAAACAAAACGGGTCTGTCTCAATAAAATCCTACAAGAGGATATTCAGTGTGTGTCTAGGGAAGACTAGGCAACATTAACTGGTTGAGTAAACAAAACCCCCATGTACCCTCAGTTAAATTTCAGGATAATTTTGATTGGAAAAGACCAAGATCATCGAGTCCAACCTTTGACCAGTTGAAATAAAACAGTTCAAATAAAAGGCATTTCCCACTTCGCAAAAAACCCACACCCAGATCACCTACTAAGGTGCTGAGTGTACAGCAGGTAAAAGTGGTAATAGTTTCTATCTGTATTCAAGTATCTTCACCAAAAAGTGACCTTTGAGCAGCACAGGTGGACCCGCAGCAAACGGCTCCAGCTGCACCTTCAGCTCTGCTCTTGCACAGGAAGCTTGAATTGGAAAGGAAGAGGAGTGTGCAGACATGTGTTCCAAGATGAAGTAGTTAAAAACTGCAACTGTAGGCAATACAAAGGGTTTCTTTACTGTTTATCGAATCTCTGCAGTCCAGGAATGTATCAGCTTTGCCACCCTCCTTCCCCCAGTCATTCCCTGTGCCCCAGCAAGGGCAGCACAGTCTGGTCCCAGCTCTCGTCCCAGCGCAGCTCCTGGGCCGCCCGGAGGTTCTGTCTGAAGCTGTGGAGTTTGCCTTCCAGGGCCGGAAATTCCGAGAAAAGCATCTGTGATATAAAGGGCAAAACCACAAAGATAGCATCATGTTCCATTTCAGGCTCATTGCAGCCTCCCCAGCATTAACCCTCCACTACAAAGCTGCAGTGAGACTGTTCTGGGGTCTGGCCCCAGAAACAGAACAATGACAACATTTTCAGTGCTTTTGCCAGCTTCAGATTCACATTTAAACACAAGAGAGGCAAATGATGTTCACCAGGCCAAGCAGTGCCTTCTGAGAAAGCAAAATACACAGACAGTCAGCTGTGAAAGGGTGCCCACGTGGTGGCACCTTTGGGGTCACACCTGGGGGGCAGAAATGAGTCAAAGCCTTTACCTTCAGTTGTTCTGCGAGTTCACTCGAGTCCCTGAATATCAGACCATTTTCGTTGTGTTTCACAAGTTCATGTAAACTGTGAAAAGAAGTCACAGAAGGAAATAATGAGACAAAAAGCAGCAAGTGGGACATTTAAAATGTTGTACAGTGACAGCCAAAGGGGCCACCCCAGGATATCTGTAACATTATCACTGATACGAGCCCCACACCTGACATAACGGGATGGAGAAGGCAGTTTAAAATCTTCTAATTTAAAGACTGTTTCTCCTTTCTATGTCAGACTAAATCTACCACGACTGTACCAAAGGGCCCTCACTCTGTGCCACTCAACTGGACATACATGAAAAATCAGGGCAATAATCTACTTCAAAACTAACCCACAACGAAAATTTTTCCATGATCCATCATGAAATCTTCACAGAGAAGTTACCTTCCTTTATAAAGCTACTGTTTTCCCAAAGGACCATGAATTCCAAGACTGCCTATGCATACACTCACCCCTTCACTGAACGGAAGGAAGCTTTTTTAAAATTAAATATTTGGAAACAAAGGATAACAGGGATTTTTTAAGGCAAGTGGTTGCATGACATGCTCTGACCTTTGGAGAAACTAGTGTCATTCTTAAAAATTTATAACAACCTTGATTTCTAACTTACTGAATTTAAAAAAATGGCATAATACAGCAATCTCATTTGACTCCTGCAGTAGCTGCTGAACTCGTGCTTTGGAAGAGTATTTTTAATGTGAATCACTTGATCTGTAACAGAACAAGGTCTTACCATTCAAAATATATTGCACACACAGGTAAACAGCAGCCAAACATATCCACCACCTTCATGGGTAAATCCAAACCACTGGATGATTTATGGAGACACACCCCCAGGTCTGCTGAGCCTGAAAAGCAAACAAAACACTCTGAATTCTCTGAGAGCAGCTCCTCTGTCCTGCTGCAAACCTTTATTTCTGTGCTGCTTTGGTGGTGCAGGGTAAACCCGAGCCCCCTCCAACCACCCAGACTGACTCTGTTTCAAGCACTCAGGGGGAAAAAAAAAGCACAATATGTTTTGTGACTAAAATTAGTCAGGTTTTAGAAACATAATAAGTCAGTGCATATTAAATTAAAGGGGATTTTAAAGTTTCATGCATCTTAAAACAGCCTTTCTACCTCTTAATCTGCTAAGAATGGATAAGTGAAGGAAAACTCCAGCACAAACCAGACAGGATATGCTGCTTGGCTCACTGGTGACCTCTCCCAGTTCAAGTCATCTCAAAATAGAGAAATTACAGCGTGATTTTATAGCCATTATGTTCATTATTTGAAAAGGACCAAATAAACACAGTGTTTTAAAGCCATATAAATTGTCAGGCTCTAATCCTGCAGAATGGAGATCAAGTTAAACATGTGTTTTACTACTTTATTACCCCCACTTTATGCTGTTACAATGAACATGCTGAGGGAATAACATTCCAATGACAAGTTAATTAAAAATTTCAGCTACTTTTGGTTGCTTAGTGAAAAGCTTTTTTGATTTCATTTACAGGAGCGACCCTGAAAATAAGCTGGAACGTGCACAGGCAGCTGTATTTCAGCACAGAAGAAACAAAGAGTGCAAAGAACAGGCTAAAACAGCAACAGGTACCAAGCCAACTTTTTGGGATAACAGCAAATAGCCAGAGAAATTCAACATTTTTGCTGGAATGAGTCAAAGCCACGAGTCCCCTGTCACTAACCAAGCACTCATTGCTATGTTCTACCAGGTTCTGTGCACAGTCTGTATCAGTTCTCTGCCCCTGTGCCAAGTTGTTTTTCACACATTCTCCAGCCTGTTTCATCACCCACTGCTTACCAAGCAAAAGAGGGTAATCCTCAGCTTCCAGCCACGGTGTACAGATCTGGATATGTTTAAAGTGCAGTTTCTGTATCAGTCCATTGTAGTAGTCTTTTAGAGGTCCTTTACCTGTTTAAAACAGAAAAGAAAAACATTTAGTAGTTTTTCATCAAGCTGACTGACAATAGTGTGGTCTGTGAGCTGCCGAGCTCCTGTTGCATCAGGTACGTCCAAAAGGACACCACACATGATCCTCCAAAAGACACATAAATATCCAACTCCCTCTCAAAGTGATGTGTACCTAGAGTTTACACTGTTCTGAACATGGAGTAGTGCAGAACTGTAGTAGGGACAGGGAGTAGAGAGGGAGGTCAGGAGCTTCTCCTCTGAAAATGTGCCATGATTACATCGTGTGAGTTCAACTATAAATTCAACTATAAATTACCATTCTTATAACCAGACCTAAAGACAACAGTCTCTTCTCACCATCAGAAGAGTCAGCACAGAACAAAATTGAAAATGAATGTTCTGTATCAGCACTGAAAGAATTGCAACACAAACAGCCCCTTACCTGTTATCACACACACCAGAGCTGGAAGCTTGGCTCCCTCATCAACAAACCTCTCGTAGTCTGGAGAAGATAAAACACTGCTTGGAGGCCACAAATACACAGATGGGTGCTTTAACAGTGGTCACAGTGTATTAATTATTTAGCTTCCTACTGCAAGTAATTTCTTTACAGGCATGTACTTAGTAAAACAGTAGTAAATTCAGCAATGTTAAAATTTACAAACTTGGACAGAAATAAATCGTGCTCTGTTTATGCAGCAAGCATTTGTTCAACTGCCCCACAATCAGCTGCTTCAATAGATCAATTTACAATTGCCAGCTGCAAAGCCTACAAAATAAGACAAAGTATTCCCTTCCTTCCTATTAGCAGATGCCTATGGAGAGTATCTGTAATAGCTTAAGAAATAAAACTGCAATTTAGAAGCTAGTTAGAGATTTAATTCTCCCTGACAACTCCTCCAACTGAATCCAGATGTTGCCCTTCTGTATTTCAATTACTACTCTTAAACCAGTGCTACTTAATCAAATACAGCTGCATTTTCACCTGAATAGGGTTTAGCAAAACCCTTTTTAAGGGTCCAGAAAACAACCCTTGGAAAAATGAGATTAATTCCTTCATACCCACCTTCTAAAGCTTTTAAAAGGACAGAGAAGTCTTCATCCTCTGAAAGAGAAGGCTTTATTAGTGACATCCATATTTGTATCATTTATGATGAATTACTGTCTTTAAATAACAACAATCAGACTCACCTCACCAACATGATTTAGTAGAGACCATGCTTTTCCTATTAAATTCTGCTAATTTGCTTTCATAAATAGAAGTCTATAACCACAGACACTGTTTATTTGCTTCCCCTGCTGGCAATATGGCAGACAAACCACTCACAAATGCTGCACATCTTCAAACCTATCAAGTTACAATTTTCTAGTTTCTAAAACTAAAGAATTGAGTGTAAAAACTGCCCTGACAATTCAAAGATAAAGACAATTCTGCCAATTCTGCCCCTGGTTACTAGCAATGGAATTTTTTTGCCTCTGTATGAAGAAGGGAACAGAAAATGGAAACAAGTGACATAATTATGTAACACACATTATCAGAAATCCTGGAATCACAGACTGGTTTGGGTTGGAAGGGACCTTAAACCTCATCTTGTCAGAAGCCCTACCATGGGCAGGGACACCTTCCATTACACCAGGGTGCTCAATAAGGAGTAAATATTTTAATTTCTTAAACTATTTTATGCCACCCTGCAAGATTGTATGTCTAGAATGAAAGCAAAAAAAGAAGTAGGAAATCTCTTCTAACCATCCTTAAAGCTGAGCCTCTAGACTGCAGCTCTATAATTAAAATATACCTTTAAAAAATCATTGATTTTTAGCATTCTATATGTTATACCACATTTAGTGGTGTATGATACAACACTTAGTTGAATCATATACACCTTGTCTTCCATTTTTTCCTGGCAAGTGAAGGAAAAACATAACTTCAGATGTGAGGAAGTACAAACAGCCTTAGTTTTAGATGAAAAATGCAGTGTTTCCCCACCTGTCCAGCTGGTGCTGCTGATGAGAAGAGCTGGCCGGCCCCTGGGCTCCACCACACGTCCATCCCTGCCATCCCTCTCTGTGAAGGCAGATCTCTCAGCACTGGGATCCACAGGCTCTGCACTATGGAGACACAACTTCCTGAGGATGGGCTGCACACACAGCCAACAGCAGCAGCAAACACTGCTTCAGTGGCAGGAATTTCCAAACATTTTGTTTCAGATTTGCTGCTCAACTTCTCTAGAAACAGAGGCATCCCAGTACAGAGCTATGGAGAAATACCAGACCAGGAGAGGCCATTTTTCCTGCTTCCTACTGCTACAGACACGATTCCATCTTCCAGCAGAGTGTTTTCCTTAACAAGCTGAGCAAACAGCCAGCCTCCCTTTCCAGCTGTCTCACAGCATAGAGCATGGAGGCCAACAGCACATTTATTCCATTCAACTCAGACCCTACACACTCTGAGGTGGGCATTTCAAAAATACCCTCTACACACTATGGATTTCACTTCTTTTTCAAGCATTAGTTTGGTAAAGTAACTCCCTGGCCAATCTGCTACAGGTGACATCCTGCACACGGGCAGAGGGGAACATGCAACACTCAAACCAAGACCCTGAAGGCTCTCACAGTAAGGAAGAGGTGCCATTAAGGAAGCATCCAACCACTGTCATTAAGGTCCATTTGAACCAAACAACTGCTGAGTTCCACCCCAGAGATACTCTGTCACAGATTGCCTCGGTGCTTGTGCCAACTTCTTTAAAAACAAAACACTTCCACTTGACACACCAAGTCTTGTGTCAGCACAGTTCAGTGATCTCACATCTGGCCTCTCCCTGTGACCCTGAGCCAACCTGCACAGCCCCAGCTGCTCCGAGCCCACCGTGCCTCTGGGGCTCAGAGTGCCTGTGGTCAGCACGTGCCCCAGCTCCCTGGCACTGTGGGAGGGACTGTCAGCACAGCTGCACTCCCAGCTCCCAGCTGCACTCCCACCTACCGTGCTCGGAAGGGCTCGTAGTCCTGGGCAAGTTTCATGTACAGATGGTGCCGGAGGTCCAACGGTGTTTCCTTAAAGTAAGAAGCTGGTCTGTCATACAGAGTTACTGCCCTGTGAGGAAACATGGGAATAGCTTAAACAGGATACAGACGTAACAACATGTACCTGGCTCAGTGACAGGCTGCACATGGAATGCAGAAAGTAATTAAGTAAATCAATACTGCAAAGTAATTCGGTTTTTGACTCTTACATCTGTCTGTATGCCTGAAGTTTGCTGGAATACACCAGGGTGGACACAATAATCCTGTAACAGAGCCCCTTTCATGGTGCCTATTCTAGGGGTGAAATGCACCTGTACAAACTGCAGACACCACTGTCCTGAATTTTAAACTTACTCTGTAACTGCCCCTGAGCAACCCTGATCTTAAAGCCCCCTGACTGCAAATGCAAAGGTGTCAGGGCAGACTAATCATTAAAAATCCCAGTGATTATTCCCATTCTACTGGCAGCCTGGCAGCAAACCTCCCTGACACCTGGACTGCCACCTCCCAGTCAACTGGGTGTTAATTAAGAAGGGTAATGAAGACTCCTGAATGCCCACACTCCACTGGCTCATTACAAAACAGAGCTAATGTTTCAGTGGAGTTGCTTTTGTAGGATCCCCCTGAATCTTGAATCCTCAGGGATCTGTTTTCATTTCACTTTGCACACACAGAGTAATTTGTGACTTACTTTATGTTGCAATTCATCCAGAGATCTTCTTTCATTGCATCAGTGACACACAAGTTATAGTCAGACAAGCGCCCAAAAAGCTTTTCATACCTGACAAAAATTAAAAGTCAGTTAGAAACCACAGGCAGGCAATTGCTTTAACTGCCCCCAGTGCCCATGACAAGCGAAAGCCAAATAAAACCAAAAAAAACCCAACTGCCCCCAAAACTGAAATTTAATTACCAATTATTCCCAGTTATTGATGGACTCCTGGTGCTGAAGCAATATCAGTTTATGAGAAGGGCTACAGCAGGACTCCAACACCCACACTAGAAAGCCTTTAAAGCTTTTAACTGCACACAACCAATTAGATTCAGCAAGAAGCAGCTTTTTAAGGGAGAGCTGGAGCGTAAAGCAGCATTAGAGAATAAAAAACTCAGTACCTATGGAGAAATTCTAATAACAAGATCAAAGTTTGCATATGCACATAAAAGCAACCCGCCTACTTCAAACCACCCCCTACGTGTCCAACAAAGGCAATTTCAAAACATGTTTTCTGAAATAGAAACCAGTTCAGCACAGCAAACCCCAGAAATCCCTCTCACAAACAGCCCTTTGCCAATTACATTCTCCCCACTGGTTTCCATTCTGAATCCCACCCAGGTATGTAATTTGAAGAAGTGACTGTACAAACCATTTTGCAATCTGCACTAGCGGGTGGTTCCTCCCATGACTCAGGCTCATTATGGTGTATCCATAGTTGTGCCAATCAATTATCAGTTTGCTCCTCCAGAACAGACCTGCCACCCAGGCAACAGCTATACTGGGTAAGCCCGGGGGATTCTGCTCAAAAATAAACCAGAAACAGCACAAGAGCGTGGTCAAGTGACAAACACAAAGCAACTACCAGAAAAAAATCCAATTACTGAAATTACATCGCTTTAAAGGAGCTTAATGACCAGAGACTATTTGTATTTACCTATTAAGATTGGTAGGCCCTTCAAATTTCACCTTGGATCAGGATCAAAATCCCCCTCCAATAAACACAGCAACATTTCTAGTGAGATTTATTCTTTACTACTGCCCATGCCAATGAAGTTTAAAAGCCCAACAATTAACAGGAAGAGCAAACCTGAGTCGCTAACAAGAAAATCAAGGTTTGGAGGCAAAAAACCACTTTGATATAGGTTTACACCATTGGTGAAGCCAGTTCAGCTCTCAAATAACTAGAACAATGTCTGAGACCTCTAAAAATGCCTTGTGAAGTAGCACTATTTGTTTTTATTAAAATTAGTCCCCCACAAAACATACCTGAAGAAGAATATAGGAGGGCTGATCTATCCTCAGCAGTGTATACAGCAACTGCACTGACTGCACAAGGACCTTTACAACGTACTGGAAAAGCTTTGGACCCACTGCAAAATGACAGGAAAACTGGTAAGAATATTACAGCTCTCCCCACAGAAATGTGTGCATTAAACAGAGCCAGACAGCTCTGCAGAGAAAGGGTTAAAATAAAGGTATCCTGTAAAAATGGAAACGTTTAATATCTTTACCATGAACTGCATAAGTGATTGAGCACCCCCTCAGCAAGTCTGGAGATGGCACAAGGTTGAGTGAGAGTGTTGATCTGCTTAATGGTTGGAAAGCTCTGCTGAGGGATCTGGGCAGGATGGACCATGAGAGGAAAGACTTTGAGGGGCTGGAGCGTGTCCAGGGAAGGGAATGGAGCTGGGGAAGGGGCTGGAGCAGCAGGAGCAGCTGAGGGGGCTCATCCTGGAGAAAAGGAGGCTCAGGGGGGACCTTCTGGCTCTGCAACCCCCTGACAGGAGGGGGGAGCTGGGGGGGGTCGTGCTCTGCTCCCAGGGAACAAGGGACAGGATGAGAGGGAAGAGCCTCAAGTTGTGCCAGGGGAGGTTTATATTGGATATTGGGAAAATTCCTTCACGGAAAGGGCTGTCAGGCCCTGGCACAGCTGCTCAGGGCAGTGGTGGAGTCATTGCCCCTGGAAGGATTTAAAAGCTGTGTAGATGTGGCACTTGGGGACATGAGTTAGTGGTGGCTTTGGGAATGCTGGGGGAAGAGTTGGACTCGATGATCTTAGAGGGTTTTTGCAACCTAAAGAGTTTTTTGATTCTGTTCTATGATCGTTACAAAGCTAAGTAAATACAAATGGGAATTTATAGGGACCGTGAGGTATTTTGTATAGATAGAAGTCATAGAATCTCAGAATGGTTTAGTTGGAGGGACCTTAAAGCTCATCCAGTGCCAGCCCCTGCCATGGGCAGGGACACCTTCCACTAGCCCAGGTTGCTCCAAGCCCCGTCCAACCTGGCCTTGGACACTCCCAGGGATCCAGGGGCAGCCACAGCTTCTCTGGGCAACAGTGATAAACACAAAAACTGGGAGGGGAAAAGGGAAAACAAAAGCATTTCCACATTTCTCTCTGCATCCGAACGGCACCAAGTGCCCCGCTACCAGCAGGTGTTTAATTCTAGCGGGAGATGGAGAGGAGGGAGATCAGGGTGTGCAGCTCTG